TGAATTGATGGATTTGGGGATGTTGAACAATCCTTAAATTCCCAAGTATGAATTTCATTTGATCATGATATGTCTTTTATCTACGCCATTGTTTTGAACAATAGCATTTGGTTGGGATTTCTGCTTTTATGTTTATAAGAGATACTAGTCAATAGTTTTCTGTACTTCTTACTGTGTTCTTGGTATTGGGTAAATATTGGTGTCATAAAAATGTGTTTGATGTTGTTGCTTATGTTTTATCACCTTATTCTTACTGGCTTGCATTTTTGGTTTTTCAAGTAAAGGTTAGTGCACTACAAAATTTTGGTCCTCGATTACTTACCCTAAATTTCCATCAGTCCTTAGAAACCTGTACTAGCAGAAGGGAATCTGTCTATCTTCGTGTGCTTCTCATTTTGACACTGCTAATATTAGGTACTAGGCTCCCAATTATTCAGGAAATACTGGCCAGAGTAGCTTCAATATTTGGGGTGCCTTTGGGCCTGGACCTTGAAAGTTAGAACTTTGTCAGTATTTCCTCTTGCAGTGGCAGGTAAGTTCCAATTTGAATCTCTGAGTGATCTTTAGAAGCCAGCTATTGCTCACTGTATACCACAAAAAACACACACATACACACAGAGAGAAACCTCCAAGCTCCCCAGAGGGAGGGAGGGAGGGAGGGAGGGAGGGAGGGAGGGAGGGAGGGAGGGAGGGAGAGAGAGAGAGAGACAGAGAGAGACAGAGAGAGAGAGAGAGAGAGAGAGAGAGAGAGAGAGAGAGAGAGAGAGAGAGAGAGAGAGAGAGAGAGAGAGAGAGAGAGAGAGAGAGAGAGGCCTATCCCCAGGGAAACAGTTCCCCCAACAAGGCCATACCTCCTAATTTTTTCCCAAACAAGTCTACTTCCTGGTGACTAACCATTAGTATATATGAGGCTATGGGGGCCATAGCACCACAGAGTTCATCAGCCTTTGATACTTAATTTCATACAGTTATATAATAAACTGAGAGAAAGCTAAGACCTTGTAAGATATCTAAAGATTTGTCATTGTTAAGTTTGCTAAATTGTTAATGACATTCTCTTATGCCTTTTTACATCTTAAGAGAAAGTACTTCTGGTGCTTTTTAGTAATGTATGCAGGTGTTATTCTTTCTATTTATATTAAACACACCATAGAAACAGGTGGTTCCTGAAGTATATATAAATACTTTTTGTATAACAGTTATTATATGTTGTGTTTATATTTTATTCTTTGTATTATTATAGATTAAACTTGTATTTTAAAGTAGCATACATTATAAATGAACTTTATTGCTTGGATTTCTCTGTGGTTTAACATATATTCAGGTTCTTATAACCACTACACTTGAAAGTCAGTATTGCATCACCATCCCTCATGATTTCCTTGTGCTGTCCCTTTAAAGCTACACTCTCTCCCATCTGAAACACTGGTGATGTTGATCTTTTCACTATTATTTTGAAAATGTCAGATATGTTAAATCATACAGTGTTATGGTGGACAGGTTCTAAGTGACCCACTCCACTGCAGAGTATCCTCCCCTTCTGTGCAGGCTACAATTTGTTTACAATTAGCATAATTTGGCAAAGATGATAGGATGTCACTCACTACTTTGATTATATGAGACTGTCTTAGCCAAATGGAGGAGAAATAGGAGAGGGTGGTAGAAGAGCAAGGAGGGAGGCAAGCTAAATGAAGGATTAGGTACAATAGTCTCTTTTAAGTTTCAGTGACTCAGCACATAATACTTTAAGATTAATTATTTTGCTTAGCTATTCATCCCATACCCAGGTATGGAACACTTTTTATTTGCAACAAGGGATTTCCAATGGTCTTAGTGATTACAAACATTAACTCTGGAGCCAGAGTACCTAGGTCCAAATGTCCTGTGCCAAATACACTGTGGAATTCTTATGAACATTCCTTAATCTCTCTAATGCCTCATTTAAAAAACAAGAATGCTGAAAATGCTCACTGCTTTAGTCCATTTGTGCTATAACACAGTACTTGAGACCAAGAAATTTCTTCACAATAGGCAAATATTTGGATCAAAGTCGTGCAGGCTTAAATATCCCAGAACTGAGAGGTCATATCTGCCAGGGGCCTTCTTATTATTTTATAAGGTCACAAAAAGTAGCATACAGTGGCTGGGCGGTGGTGGCGCACGCCTTTAATCCCAGCACTCGGGAGGCAGAGGCAGGCGGATCTCTGTGAGTTCGAGGCCAGGCTGGACCGATAGCTTCCAAAATAATACAGAGAAACCCTGTCTCGTAAAAACCAAAAAAAAAAGTAGCATACAGTGAAAGAGCAAACAAGAGAAGAAGAGAAGGGGGACCAAGTTTATCTTTTTAATGAGAACCCACTCTCACAATAAATAAACCACTGCTGTGGTGTGGGAGTAATAGGTCTCTTACCACTCAACACATATGCAGTAAGGATTTGGATTTCTAATACATGAACTTTGAGGGATATGTTCAAACCCTAGAGCTTTTCTAATAATATTTTGTAATGCATGTAGATGACTTAACAGACTACCTGGCATGGTGGTGATAAATCACTGGCATCTATCCATAATACTAATACTAATAATGTTTATATAGAATTAAATAAATTATTATGTACCTTTTAGTGAGTTACCAGTCAAATACTACTACTATTGCCTGGCATGTGAAATTTATAGGCATTATATATGATTTTTATATCATCTACTTCATAATAATAGCAGTATTGGTAGTTATCACTTTTCACATCCTTCTACAAAACACTAAAATAAAAAGTATATCCATGTAATTGGTATAATATTGACTGACTTGTGCACACTATAGAAAATAGACAAGAAAGTATAGTTTTAAATGTAATAACCTTATTTTATGAGCACTTGGGCATGTAAATGAATAGGTACAAAAATATTATAAAGTATATAATCAAATAACCCTCTTCATTGAAATAAAGTCATATATAATACAACAGCCCACTAGTCCTCTTTACGTTAAATAATACTTAGTATTCTACAAGAATTATTTGTTTTGATTGCTTATTATAAGATCAATTTTTTTGTGCTGCTATTCAAAAGAGACTGGAAAATACACAGCTATAGCTAAAAAACAAGTTCACTGTTCCTTAAGTTGACATCAGAATGAGGTAGTCTTGTTAAGGGCTTAAGATCATCCATCTCTAGTGAGATACATCATTTTTCTAATTTACTTCTTAGTTCAGAATAGTTTTCCAAACTGTATCTATCTATTGTGGTCAATTTCTAGTGACCATGGAAAGTAGTGAAAGTGAGGCAGAGAGTTCAGACAAGCAGTTTATCTACTTGTGGTGGCATTGTTTTTAGAATGTTCACAACTATGCAGTTTGACAAATAAAAGTCATCAGTAAAAATTGAAAGAAAAATCCTTCATGTGGCAGAGTGCTCCGGAATCACAAGGAAACCACATTGCCCAGGCTCTACTGTAGTATGCCCTCTATACCTGAGTTCTAGTTAGAAGACAGCCAGGATATTTGCCTGACACAATCCTTAAAACTGTCCACAAGATTGTCCATCTTCATTCTTTCTTAGATACCTAGCCAGACACAAATTCTTTACCAAATGATTTCCAGGTCCAAGAAAATGGTAAAGCCATAGGATGGAAGAAGTTTGTGTCCTTTGGACTACTTAAAATGGAGCACCCTCCCCTTTCTGATGACTTGATGACCTATATTCAAATTTGAGAAAAGCAAAAGCAAACTTTCGGGGAGTGAATGTGTGAGATTTGTGAATATTTATACCACAAACATTGCATATTTATTAGAATTAACAACAACATATAGCCTAGAGTTGACTTTTATTAGTTTATTCTTATTTATTATTCTGGTACTAAAGTTTAAATAAACTTTAGTTTATTTAAAGAAAACATACATTTAAAAATTATACCATTTTAATAATGTCATATCATATGCTGAACTGACACAAATTAAACCCTTCATTTTCTCAAGTTATCACTTATTATTTAAGTATAATTAGACTTAAACAGCCCTTCTAACTTAAAATTACCATAGGGATGTTCTGATGAACAGAAGGTATGGAAATTAAAACAAATTCTTGCCCTGCACTGAATTTCCCAAGTGTGAACACAACAGCAAAATCCTAGAAAAATGCACCTTCCTGTTACAGACTAAGATACACAGAAATGGATCATGTCTTCCCAATCACAGTTTTCACTTTCTACTCAGAAATAAGAATAGGAAGGAATCCCTGAGGTATCCCTGAAGAATACAAGAGAAGCGCTGAGTCAAAGGAGACACACCATGCTTTGGACACAGTAGAGAAGTCAGTGTTATCTGAAACAATGTAAAGTTGTTGCACAATCCTAATCACTCTCTTTCTCATTCTACTTCAGAGAGGATATTGACCAGCATGGTTTTCAGTTCACCTATAAGTATATTCTGTTTGCAAGTATTTTATTGAGAAAGTTCGCATCTATGTTCATCTGGGAATTTGGCATATAATTTTTTCTTTTGTGTTCTTATTCTAGGTGGGGGGGTCGGGATATGGTTCTATTGTGTATGCAAGTGGTGGGGGGGGAGTGCACGAGGGGGAGAGGAAAGGGGCCATTAAGAGTTGGAAGTGGGAACAAGAGAGGGAAATAAGGGATAAATAAGAGTAAAGCACATGATAAGAATATATGAAAAAGTCTATAATGAAGCCCATTATTTTGCAATGAAGATGTACTAAGAAAGAAAGGAAGAAAGAAAGGAGGAAGGAAGGAAAGAAAGGAAGGAAATGATCAACTATAGACATTAGGATGCCAGCGAAGGCTAGTTAAGATATTTAAACTGGGGTTTTGTTATTATGAGATAAAGTGTTTTGCGACCTCCTCAAGAAATCATCCACTTTCAGGGCTTGAATGAAAATGAGACAGACTCTTGTTGCTATTACACTGTAAATTCTGTAAAGGGGAACATTTCCATGTCTCAACACTTCAGCAGTTTTTCTTGGCAATTGTCTCTCCTGTAACTCAGGGAGTGGCCTTGTGCTCTGCGTCACTGCGGGGGCGGAGCCTTCTCTGAGCAGTGCCTGTGAGTTCTGCCCAGCAAGTCTTGGGGGAGGAGCTGCATTTTACCAGGCTGCAGCTGACAAGAAGCGTCAAGGTAATGTCTGACTTCAATTTATTTTCTAGTGATTTGTCTGAGTTCTGGGATAAAAACTGAAAAAATAGGAAGAATGATCTTGGAAGTAGAAGGATCGTTGTGTGATTTTTTTTTAAAGAACTGCTGGCATTTTGAAAGCATTAATCCTCTGGAACTTTTGTATCTCCTAAGGTTTTTTAAATCCAGAGGGGAAAGGGGTGATCAGATTACAGCCTCTAAATTAAGGCTTCAGTGCAGCATGGCCGTTCATACTAATTTCCTAACTTAGCAGAACTTGTTGATATTACAAGGTATTCTGTTATTCTGTGAAGTTTCAAACATTTATTCATTTACACAGAAATAAAACTGACAAAAGTATTCAACAACAGTGTATTCATACATCTGCTAATTGGAATAAAGAGAAAAGTATGTATATGTTACATGCATATGAGTTTAGGAAGGGGATCAAATGTGCAGTTGAGTGAAGACATGAGCACATAATATATGCATGTATATGTGTGTGGTTGGAAAAAAGGGACAAAAACTCCCATGTTAGCATTCAGCATTTCTGGGTAGTCAAGTTGCTATTTTTAATATGTTTAACCCATTTCGATACCATTAAAGTATATTGTGCCTCATGATTATTTGTTTAACTATGAAACCAAAATGAAGCTCAAACATCATACTCATTTTGTTTCAGCTACACAAACATTCATAAATATACACATATGCTTCCACAACCATACTTATTTTTTTCCATTGGTGGAAATTTTCCTGATCTGGTTAAATGGGTAGCTTGGTTGCTGTTCTAACTATAATTCTGTGTGTGTCCTCTTTCCAGTTCATTATTTCAGGCCACATGGAGAGCCCTGGTTGCTAAAAATCATTTTTCTGCATCAAATTACATGGATAAAACAAAATATTTGGTTTATTCGTATAAGCAGTTTAAAGAATATTATATAGTATGGTACATACATATTGGTAAATGAAAAACATGAGCATCCACATGAAGTAATTTATAAGTTTCTGAGAAATGGTACCTGATAAAGAGAGAAAATTATGGGACAGTGATTACATATGCTATCTCAATATATGTATGTTACTACAATGTATACAATTAAATCTGAAAAATGCATCTCTAACAAAAATATATGTTATCTGTATAGTTAGAGAATCAGAGATGCCTTTACCAGTCTCTATTTATAAAATAGTAATTCATTTTTATTTGGGCTTTTAAAAACATCTTCAGGGAAATACTGAGATAAAATATTACAGACTTGGGACAAGCCTCATTATTAAGTTATATAAAATCATGTTGAAAACACTTATTTACACAGAATTATATTCAAAGCATGCTCTTAAGAGGTTCCTAAACCTGGCTTGAAATGAGCATTCATTCTTCTATGTAAAAATTTCCTAGAAAGAGAATATTCATGGTGGATATTTGTGTCAAGTAGTACTTAACGTTTATGTATTTTGTATTTCAATTTTAATAAGCTTCTGGATCATCAAAATTACTGTGGTAAAACATTACCCTATTTCTATCCTGTACTACAAACCCTTAACTGTAGTTTATTTAATGTTTTTAAATGTGGTACTGGGAATTGAACCCAGGATCTTATGCACGCCAGGCAAACACTCTAAATCTGAGCCACATCCCAAGCCCTTAAACCCTTATACTTAACATAAAGTATTCTAAATACCCAAGAAGATTCCTGACTGGCTAGTGCAGTTTCTACCCTTCTCCCATGAGAATGATCTCATGTTAAGGCCCTGCCTATATCACCAACAGGCTGCATTTCTGGTTCTGGTTATGAGATGGCATATGTGCCAGAAAGACTGAATTTTCTTCAGGCAACCATTGTTATGAGGCAGGGAAACAAAACAGTGAAATTATTTTTTTTTAATTTGTTAGTCTGTGAGACAGTATGTCATATAACTGTGATTCCATTGAAAACAACTGCAAGTTTAAATGAGAAATCAACATAACTATTGTGAAGATTCAGAAAATCTAAACTGTGATTCTTAGTAGACACAGATAATTTGTTACCTCTTTTCTCTCATCCCGCCTCATACCTTCCTAGAGTGAGATCATTTCAGCACGAATAGTAAGGAATATTTCATCTTGTAGAACATCTACATTAAGGATGAGATTTTATCTCATACCTGTGTTTCACAGTGGCAGCCACTGAGTTTGGGTAGGCAGGGTTTTTTTTTTCTTTTAACACTTCCTTTGATTGATTCCCTGTCTTTCTTTTGTACAGTCTCGGTTAATATCGGAGGTGCATGTGGTGTGGGAACTCTCTACATGTGATTCGTAGGGTGAAAGGTCTGTCGGGAAATCAACTGGCTTGAGAGTCAAGATAGTTGGATCACATTGCGGGATCATCACTGTCCTCGTGACAGAGGGTAAGAATTGTCCCATTTCAGTAGACACTACAGATTTGAAAATACACTGAGGTCTTAAAGGACACGTGATTTTGCTTCCTGCTTTCCATCTGTAAGCATTTTCAACTTAAAAGCAACTTTTGTATTATCATAATTCAGTTGAAAATTTGAGGCAAAGCCATGTGCTCAGCTAATCATTTGAGAACGTAGTAGAATTACAGGTTTTTAAGAACTTCTGAATAAGACTTTGAGAATGGAGCCTAACAGTCTATGAGGCTCTCCATATGATCCTCATGATTGCTAAATTTGAAGACTCACTACCACAGGTGAAATACTAGGAATACAAAATTATCAAAGTATCAGATGTCATGAATAGATTCTGCAGCATACAATTACAAGTACTTCTAGCTATATTGATGTATATTGTTTAACAAAAAGTAATGGTTCTTGAGTTGAGGTTATCATACAAGTTTATTTCCATTGGTTACTGCTCTGTCCATTAGACTGCTTTTTTGTCTGTCTCATCTTTCATTGAACACAGTTCTTTTTAGTTTATCTCTTTTGTCTACATTTGCTCACCATCTACTTTGGCAAGATAGTTTTATTTGTTAATAGTGTTTTCCCTATTTCAGTATCTTCCAGAGTTCTCTTATTCAAACAACATGTTCAAGTATCCTGGGGACTAATTGTGGAAGAGAACAGTGCACATAAACCATAGACTCTTTGTGTTTCTAAATCAAAAGAAACTTTAGTAAGACTGTTGTTGTGATAGAATTTGAATTTGTAACCACAAGGCCAAATAATCTCTTTTCTGTAACACTAACTACTTGGCATACTAATCTAAATCATAATGGATGGTGAATATGTCCTATGTAATTGGAAAGAACAGTTATGGCCAGCAAAAGTTTTATATAGCTCTGAAACTTTGTCAAACAGTAAAAGGAAAAAGGCATTTTCCCTGGAAGTTCAAATACTTTCACTAGATGAGAAAATTACCGTGGACAGCAAAGACGTAAGAGTCTTAAGTAAATCTGAGGTTCAGACCATTGTGTCCTTACTAGCAGTAGAATCAGAGGTCAGAGTTCCGCCTAGGGAAGAGACAGCCTATGAAAGATCACTGAAAATGGCACTGGAAATCTTGAAAGGGAGAACAACTCAGAGCCAAGAAAGCATGCCGAATGAAGAGGGCACCACCGTAGCATCTGAACGTGTACCACCAAAGCAGTCTGATTCACCTCCTCCTAAAAAGTATCGGAAACTTGAAAGCAACCTCCAAGAAGATTCAGCTTCCATGTTACTGTGCTCCGAGAGTGATGATTCCCTATCTGATGATAAGCTGCAGGTGCACACAGCCATTGAGAGTATTGCAAGTGAAAATGAAACAAAGGCATCACAAAACTTCAGCTGGTGCCAAACTTACCCTTCATTTCTGGATGATGAGGATGATAAAAAAGAAGAAAAGAAAAAGGTTGACATCTCAGCGGTCATGTCAATGAATTTATCCCTCAAAGAGGAAACTGAAGACATTAAAGAAGAAAAATTTGTCCCACCAGCAGAAGATCTCGTTGTACCTAAGGAGGAGGCCCAAGACATCCCCCTACAGGTACCAACAGTTTCGTCTGAATTTTCAACCTTCCCAGAGAATGATATGGAAGATCCTGGAGAGGGCCCATCAAATCAGAATCCATGCTTCTATGGCAGCCAAAATCAGTCTTCTGGGGAATCAGATATAGGTCCTGAGAGCTCCCTTGCAGGGTGCTCAGGGGAATATCAGGTTTCACTTCCTGCCTGTAATCCAGTCAATAGTGATCTACTACTTCAGAAACTAGATTTAGAAGATCTTGAAGAAGAAGCCCGAGCTTCTGGCAAGCTACTGTCTCTGAATCCTGCTAGTGCAGCTGCTTTAGATAATGACAATGAAGATGATGATGAAGACCTCCCTCGCTTCATTCTCTGCTATGAGACACGTGCATTTGAAACTGGAATGATAGTGTGGTTTAAATATCAAAAATACCCATTTTGGCCAGCAGTGATCAAAAGCATTAGGCGAAAAGAGAGGAAAGCTAGTGTACTCATGGTTGAGGCAAACATGAATCCTCAAAAGAAAGGTGTTAGAGTCTCTTTCAGAAGATTGAAAAAATATGACTGTAAAGAGAAGCAGGCTCTAGTGGAGAAAGCTAGGGAGGAGTACCGAGAAAGTATCGATTGGTGCGTGTCACTCATCTGTGACTACAGAGTTAGACTAGGCTGTGGTTCTTTTACAGGCTCATTCTTTGAGTATTATGCTGCTGACATCAGTTACCCAGTCAGGAAAATAATCAATCAAGATACCTTCAGAAACATATTTCCGAAGATACATAATGAAGACACAGGGGAGCAAATGGCTGTGGCATCCCACGCCAAGAGACTATCTTTCCAGAAAATTCTCCCTGACCGGATGAAGCCTGCTCGGGACCGAGCTAACAAGAACCTGGTAGATTTCATTGTCAATGCAAAAGGAGCAGAGAACCATCTCTTGGGCATTTTAAAGGGTACAAAAAAATCCAAATGGCTTAAATCATTTTTGAATGCAAAGAGTTTCACACCCTGTATTGAAACATACTTTGAAGACGAAGATCAACTGGATGAGGTGGTGAAATACCTACAAGAAATCTATAAACAAATCGATCAGAAGATGCTAACTCTGATAAAAGATGACAAAATTAAGTTTATCTTGGAAGTTCTTCTACCAGAAGCAATTATTTGCTCAATTTCTGCTGTTGATGGCTTAGATTATGCAGCAGCTGAGGCAAAGTATCTAAAGGGACCATCCCTTGGCTACAGGGAGAGAGAATTATATGATTCCAAAATCATATTTGAAAAGAGAAGGAGGTCATTAGCAAATGCCCAGAGTTGAAACCATTATGAAAGCTAGATGAAATTTTGGAAGAGTAACCATCTAAAATTTCCAACATGTAAATATTTGCTGAAAATGCAGGGGAGGTTCCTTGAATCTAAGTTCTTTTATTTTTTTGAAGATCGGTGTGATCTGCAGATACCACTACATCCATCTTTATTTTCTTGCGCTTTTTCAGAATCAGCTTTGTCAATATATTTTTAGCAGTTTGATTTTCTAATACATTTTAGAATTCATAATTCTTAAGTGATTTTAAGGAAACTACTATTTTGTTCTATGATTTTTTTTGTGTCTTTGCTGTATAGGCAAATGCAGTATGCACATTCAGTTTAATAAAAATTGCACTGGTGTTAGATTTTAAGCAAGAGAATTAGAAAAGATGTCTAAAACAAATATCAGTTATATATTTTTGCTCAATTTTTTATAAAATAGTTTGTTTTCTCTTAAGATAGCTGAATTATTTTTCCTGTCATGCCTATTTATTTTTGGGAAAAATATCTTTAAAACATAGAACCAAAGATAGACTAAATGTTGCTACATATTATAACTAACCACAATTGCTTTTGAAGAAAACAGTCTAAGATTAAAACGTAAATGGGTTGTCTGCATGTAGTGTGTGTGTGTGTGTGTGTGTGTGTGTGTGTGTGTGTGTGTGCGCGTGTGTGTGTGTAACATCTCAGAAGCATGCAGAAAATGACTTTGGCATCCATGAACAGAATTGTTCATTTTACACTTCTCTGAAATTCCGGTTTGAGGAGTGTCTGTCTTTTGATGCTAAAATCACTTTTTAAAACAGATAAGCTTCTGACTATCTTCATAACTGTGAGCAGGTCTTATTACTATAGCTAGCTAAGCACATATAGAAGACCGTTACAATTAGCATAACAACAGTCCTGCCACTCTACAGTCAAGGGTTGCTGCTTCAATATCTATCTAGTTTGATATAAACTAGAAAAAGCAAGCACTGTGTTCACAATCCTGTCTCCAAATAGAAATTCATTTGTGTCAAACCAAGCAAGCTTTAGCATCTAGATGATTTATAGAATGGTTCCAATTGGTTCCAGTAACATAAATGCCAACTGGTAAATCATTCCAAACTACTAGATGGACCAGAATCTGGAAACTTGGAAAAATGTTACAGCAAAAGTTCTTTATTGCGGTATGTGGCAGTTATTCTGTATATGGTTACACATACAAAATTAGTTGTTCTTGTAACTTGAAACAAGATATTTTATAAGACTAAATCTTAGAAAAGCTAGTATATTAAAAAAACTTGATGTGAAAATATGTATTAAGGGCTTAACACAAACCTATCCACATTTTTACCTCATAGAGTGAAACAACATTTGCTCTTGGGCTCTTCTTTTGTGTCATTTCACATGGCTATGTGTTTATGTACACTTTGCGAAGTTTTGGCATTTGATTTATAATAAAACCATTGTATCCTTCACTTTAAATGTTCATTTCACTTTAGTTGTATAGAAACATTGTGCTGTTTGTATAAATTAATATATGTATATGCATATATATGTGCACACACAATTTGTTTAAAACTTTTGCTCGTTGTCATCATTTAATTCTTGTTATAAATTGTTATTCTAAATAAATGCCCATTTTCATGGATGATTTTTGTATTATTTCAAGAGAAACCTTTTCCAATTGTTTGTGATTTCTATCTAACAAAACCATTTCTGAATCCTGCCTAAAATTTACCAAAACTCCTTTTATATGCATAATGTGTCAATGGCCATAATTTCCACATAGCTTTGAGAAGTTTTTTTTTTTTTTGGTTTTACAAGACAGGGTTTCTCTGTATTGTTTTGGAGGCTGTCGGTCCAGCCAGGCCTCGAACTCACAGAGATCCACCTGCCTCTGCCTCCCGAGTGCTGGGATTAAAGGCGTGTGCCGCCACCACCACCCGGCGAGAAGTTTTTTTATGACACAACACGCCATACAAATGTAGACTCTACATTCTAGGAAAATGCATTGTGTTTACACTATAGTACTCTGTTCCCCTGGTTCCAACATATTTCCCCCTTCAATATCCCCAGGAAGCTATCTCTATACCCTGGTTCTAATACATTTTTATTATTTTACTCATCGTGAATTAGCAGATCAAGTATATGTGGTTTAAATCTTTGTTTTGAGGAAAGACTGTTGGTGCCATAGAAAGGAGACCCAGGTGACAATTTCTAACGTGACTATGTTGTATTACATCACACTGAGAAATACTAAACTTATAAATTGCTTGTATTTGAAAATGAGAGCCTCAGATTTCTTTATATTAGGAAATGCCTTGGTATTCTGTTTGAGATAAAGAATGGGGCACCTGATACCTTTAGAAATGTCATCCATCTTTTGGCATATGCTGAATTGAGGCATCTGTGCCCTTTGAATATGTCACCAATGGTATTTGGGCTATAGAAAAGAAAGAGCTTAGTTAGTTTCCTCACATTGCTTCCAGACTATGTGGATGTTAAGGCAGGTTATAAGTTTGTCCCAAGCTTGATACCCAGCATAAGTTTTTAGTCCAAGGGAAATGCTTGTTTTGCCATCTACTCTAGTCACTGGGTAAAGGTAACCCTCGGATTTAATTAAAGTAAGACTGCTCAATTTCAAACTAGATATTACTTAGGGGTCTGCCAAGTAGCATGGAGACCATGCACAACATTCAAAGGGTTATACAGCTATGTATCTGTATCCAAACAAGGAAAGACTAGAATTCTGAGACTAGAATAAAGATGGAAATGATAAAATTTTTGAGACATAATTTCACATAACCCACACTGGCCTGGAAATCAAAATGTATTTAAGGCTCACTGTGAACTTCTGATTTCCTATCCCGTCTTACCCAGCAAAAATGAGAATCTTAAATACCTAAAGTCTTCTGAAACTTCAGCCTGGCAATAGCAGTGACTTCAACATTGTTGAAAGCATATGTTTAAGTGTCTGAGAATTTAGGAATGAATCAGAAAGACAGTATCTTTGAGGCTAGCTAAGTATATGTATGGTTAAATATATGCAATGCAAAGTTAAAATCACAGTAAATTGATAATCCTAAATTGAATCAAATTTTTGTAAAAATAAATGTTAGCAAAACTAAAAATAAGTGCTTAGAGCTAACCCCATTTTTTACCAATTTGTGTGGTTTATGTGAGCCTCATTTGTGGTGCCATACATACCCAGTGTAACAACTATACCAAGGCAGTGTGCATCTGTTATTGGGAGAAGAGGATCGTTTTCCCCCTTTACCTTACAGAAGCTCCTTTTAATGAAAATTAAGTTGTATTTCTTATTGAATGGGTGACTCCCCATTTTTCTTTTATTGAATATACTTTTGTTTAGAGAGACAGAGCCAGCCAGTATAAGTGGACATTTAAAATACAATATATTATCACACTTATGATGTTGACTTTCAGGAATAATGCAGATAAAGTGTCCTTATTTGAGTAGGTTTCTGATAAAAAGACAATTCATTGAAGCAATAAACATGGTGTCAAAATTTTTTCAGAGTCAATCCTTTGAGAATACTCAGTCTAATGAAAAAATACAGTAGCAACCATGATGCTGAAAGTTGGATGGATTTTTAAAATGTGATACATGAATCAATTAACAATGGTATCAGACATTTTCATCATTGTGAAAACAACAGCATGGGTTTCCACAAACCTAGGTGGTCTAGCTATACTACATACCAAGGCTAAATGATGTAGCCTATTGGTCACGGATCATAAATTTCTCCAGCCTGCTACTTTACTGAATATAGCAGGAAACTGTAATACAATGGTAAGTATTCATTCCTAAACATAGAAAAGACAGAGCAAAACCAAACATGGGTGATTAAATAAATGCCATGTCTGTAAATCATACCAAGAATGAAGCTTTTGGAACACTTCAGCTGCACTCACATTCACATACCTATAAGCAGACACACAAGCCTACATATAAATAAAAGTAATAAAGATAAATTTAAAATAAATCATTTAAAGAAACACATAAGCATCTTTTTTTTTGGTTTTTATGAGACAGGATTTCTCTGTATTGTTTTAGAGGCTGTTGGTCCAGCCTCGCCTCGAACTCAGAGATCTGCTTGCCTCTGCCTCCCGAGTGCTGGGATTAAAGGCATGCGCCACCACCGCCCGGCAAGCATCTTTATCATATTACTTTCCCCAAGGTTCACAGATCATCTTGGAAGAGGAGGTAGAAATATTGAAAGAGACAGAGGTGATGGATGACTATACGGAAACAGTGATTTTCAGACACATAAGAAATGTTACACATATGTAAACCCATAATTATTGTAGGAACATGCATAAAATTTTCACAAGCTCAAACCAGATGAAACACCATTATGGAATGCAAATGGGTAGGCATGAATTCTCACCTCTACTTAAAGAGCTATTGGCAACTAATAGCTTCAGGGAAAGGAAAATGAGTTCTCTGATAGGTCAGACACACTCCGGGGCCAGCCCCATACCCAAGAGTATTCAAGTTACACAAACTGAACTCCAGGAGTTAACTAACCAACCAACCAACCAAAAACCCAAAAACAAAAAACAGGAGGTTGGATGAGTAGGGAGGTAATGGGGAGCTCTGAGAGGAGCTGGGGGAGGGATATGGTTATGACCAAACTATATTGCATGAAATTGTGAAAGAAATAAAAATATCTAAAACCAGAAATAGAACATCCACAATTTTTAACGGTAACAGTATTTTCTACTTCATAATTATTCATATAATAAATTCAATTAAAAGACTCAACAGTAATAAATCATAAATTAATATAAAAGACTTTAAAGTTTCAGGATACCAAAGAGCTATTAATGTAGGATACCCAAAGAATTCTAATAACCTTCTGTAAAACCTTAAAAACATCAAACTTATAGGAGACCCATCCAAAATTAAATATAATACCACAACCAGTTCTACCACTAATAACCCTAACTAAATGTTAGTTAATCCTAAAAATGCTAATAAATTTCAAGAAAATTCTACTAAACACAAAACAAAAATAACGATGATGACACTTATCTAGTATAAAACATGTTATAGCCAGACAGTGATGGCATACACCTTTAATTACAGCACACAAGAGGCAGAGGCAGGTTGATCTCTGTGATTTTGAGACCAGTCTGGGCTACAGAGCAAGTTCCAGGCCAAGCTCCAAAGCTACACAGAGAAACCCTGTCTCAAAAAACAAAAAAATTATAATTCTTACATGGAATTAAAACATGAATAGTGAAATAAAAAATTAATATTATTGTACATAACAACCCCAGTTACCTCTCCCTCCTATTCTCCCATTCCCCCCACCAACTCCCCATCCTACTCCATATTCCCCCATGGGGGACCATCAAAATCTGTCACATCATTTTGGGCAGGACGTAGGCCCTTCCTGTTGTGTCTAGGGTGAGAGAGCATCCCTCCATGGGGGAATGGGCTCCCAAAGTCCATTCATGCACTAGGAATAAGTACTGGTTTCACCCACATTCAGGGGACCTGGTTCGGTCAGACTTGGGTCCACGAGTTCCCACTTGCTCAGGTCAGCTGTTTCTGTGGGTTTCTCCAGCGTGGTCTTTGTCCCTTTGCTCATCAGTCCTCCCTCTGTACAACTGCAATACAGGAATTCGACTCAGTGCTGGGTTGTGAATCTCTGCTTCTGCATCCACTACTGGATGAAGTCTCTATGATGGCATTTAAGGTAGTCATCAATCTCATTATAGGGGAAGGGCATTTAAGGTAGCCTCTCCTGCTTAGATTCTTAGTTGGGCTCATCCTTGTGAATCCCTGGAGATTTACCTAGTATCAGTCATTAATGCATTCGTACATTAGCATTATATAAACTTTTATGTTGATCAACCATTAAAATAAGAAAGTGTTGGAATACTGTTCAAGAATGGAGTCATGCAAGGGGAATTCTGGGTGCTTGTGAGAAAACCCGAAGAAAATAAGACAAGAGTTCTGTGACACCAAATTGCTCTTGGAATGTGTTTCTGTGGTCCTCCCAGGTGGTGCAGATAGGAATGAGTTTCCTGCAGCTGTTGGTATTCGTATACTGTATGGAAACCATGTTTTTTGCCACATGTAGCTTGACCTTGTGACTAAACACCTTACTCGTGCAATGCTTCATAACCCTCAGAGTATAAGTTGTCTGATGCTCTGAATAAAGTTGGCTATTGCATGAGATTTTAGTCTGCCTCATTTTTAGGCCCTGCTTTCCCAGGTTCACACTGCCAACTAGAGAGGTAAACAAGAAAAAGCATATATTCATTAATTGAAGATAATCTTAATCCTACAGCTACCACCTTTAATTATGACATAAATAAGAGCATGCTTTAACACAACTCATAAATGTTTGTTTGGTTGTTTGTTTTTGAGCCAGGATCTAGTTCTTGCTATGCCAGAACTCCATATGCAGACCAGGCTGGCCTCGAAGTAATCTGCCTCTGTCTGCTGAGTGCTGGAATTAATGGCATGCACACCATAACTGGTTTATAAAATATTTTAACTTTCTCTAGATAGTGAACATAGCTAAATATATAAAGCAAAGCACTGAAAATACCCACATGTATTTTTCTAGCCCCATAGACACATAGGCTTA